CGCGTCTGTAGGCGATTTGAATGCTATATTGAAGAGATGGCATGCACGATGTACAGCTCTAGGAATGTAGATATGCAAATAAGCATGTGACGAAAACAGCATTTAATCTGAGAACATGATCGGCATATGAATTTTGAGGCAAATGGTCAAAGACGGTTTAGCTTAAAGTAGGTTGACAGCTGAAATATGCCTTTAGATGCTGCAGCTTCATCGGTCAGGGATAATTTTAGGCCATCGATGCTGCGCAAATTAATACAGGTAAAAAAAATGCAGAGGACCGGATCTGGGGTCAAAATATGGGAGTAAGAAATGCCAAAGGCTGTGTCACAAGTGGGCTCACCGAAAGAGTCGCAATAAGTAAACATAAACGAGTCATGGTAAAGACGGTAAACCGCTGTCTGTAAAAACTGGGGTTCCTACATAAGAAAGAAATACTAGTACAAGAGACGTCAGCGGTTGCGCACCTCATCAACTACGTTTGTGAAGACAGTCTGACTGGAGAAACAGGCGGAAGCTTGAAAATAGGATACAGAAATATTTAAACCGCACGACGAGGGCAGATGAGAAAATTTTAGTCATAGCAGAGCACAGCATGACGATGAACCACGTCACCGTGAAGGACTTCAGCTCTTAACTTAAAAAGAAGACAAATGGAGGAAGAAGATTTTAGAAGCCACTATTGCGGAACAAACCCAAGCGACAGACAAGAAACCAGCATGACCAGTTCAACCCGGAGACCGCTGCCGCTAGATAATTATCCAGGCATTGTGTTGAATTTGTTTCTGCCTTATATGGCGAACTAAATCTGCCACAGCTAATCACGCCTCGTCTGTCACTCAAATTGTAACAAGTGTACCAAGTCGGGCCTATTACATCGCAACCGGAGTTGCTCAGTCGGTAGAGCGTCGAACTCAAAACCGAGCGGTCCCAGGTTAGAGCCCTATTTGGGCCACTGGCATTTCTTCCTTCTGAGTTGATAAATGAGTACATGCCATGCTCTGCTTAATGAACAGCCTCAGATTCTGCCTTTAGAAGAATAAAGCACTCCTGTCCGATGGCATGGAAATGGAGATCAGTGTCAAAACCATAATCTTTATGAAATGAAGGACGCCGCCACAAACGGACAGGTGATCTATCGTACAGATGATTTTCCCGAAAGAGGTAGCAGATTATTGACGATATTGCTCAGGATGGATTGTCGCCACACACGCGTAAATGCTTCAATGACAAATGATGAAAGTCAGCATACAAATCGAGATCAGCACCTCCAAACGTTTCGACGATACGTTACACAGCATGCTGCTCATAGTTCCCTGCTGAGGGAAAGGATGAGGGGGCATTTAACTGGCAGGCCACGACTCCGAGGCGTTTCGTAAACTCTAGTTTTAAGAAAACGTAAACCGAATGGAGCGAAAGGATGGCATCTTGTCGGTGGAAACCAAGAAAACCCTTAACGCAGGATGCGTGTTTGACGATGCTCGAAACTGATTTTGCTTGACTGTCGACAGTCGGTCGCTTCGCTGCTCCGGCGCATCCTCACCCGGAGATTACGGAAAAACGTTTCCGCCGAGAGGCTTGGCACTCCTCAC